CTTAGGTTTGGAAAATTTGGGGAGAAGATTATATTTATTCCATTGTGTCCAAAAATATAAAATAGTTTAGATATATGAATAACAAATCCACCCGAAATATTGAAACAGAAATCGAATATATAGCAATCTTCAGGAAAAAAATTGCAAAATGTCTTGAATCCATGCAGACCAACAAATATATGAATTGAATGGTGAAGATACAAAACAAATTAATTTTGTAAAGCGCTGCGCAAACTGTCAGCGCTATATAAATCCTGTATAATATTTCCCAAAAAAATCTGTTCAACACCACAAATGCATCTGAAACAAAATTCTTCAATGAACTACGTGTCCGAAACAAAATGACAACATGTTCGTGTTTCGGCGTGAATCAGCCTCATCACATGCTAGTTTCAGGCATAAGGTCCTTCAGGTGGCTCTTTGAGCTGCAGACAGTTCTCTGTTTTTCATTAGGTCTGCTAGAGTTGGTTTGTTGTGATTGCCCAGTTGGACTGCTTTTGGATGTCCCAAAGGTGAAAGACTGGGTTGACAAAAAAAAAAAAAAAAAAAACGTGGGAGCTGATTGGTTTCTATGCACAGCTGCACCAGATTTTTCACTCTCCAGTTTTAGTAAATCAACCTCTTTGTGTTCCTTAATGGATGAGAAAGAAAATGGGATTTTTATAGTCCCCGTAAAATGTTCTAGAAGATGATTTGAGTGACACTAGTTCTTCCACTCTTCTGTGTTCATAGTCATGCCGTAGGTACTGCTTTACTACAAAACTGAGGCATTCTGGTTAACCAGAGAGGTTAGCTTGGTCTGTCTTACGTTTTTGTTTGACAATGTCCAATCCTCCTGTAGGCAGCAGTAAGGTAAAAGGCTTCTAGTGTCCCTAAATGGATTTCAAAAAATGGACTTTATTTTGGAGTTCGTACAAAAATCCTATTTTAGGCCCCATGTACACGGGACACTTCTGAACGATGGAAACTGACTGCTGGAAAACGTAGGTTAAAAAATGTCTGTTTAGCCACGTTTGCATAACGCGTTCGGAAGCATTTTTAAAGATAAGCACAGGAGAACCTCCAAAATGCCCAGAATGCACTGAAAAGTGGTAAATTATTAACTATTTCAGATTGTTTCAGAGAAATACAAAGAGTAGAAGTAGAGACAGCAGTATGTGTTGAGATTAGCTTAGATTTGCTCATTAACATTTCTTTTGTTTCCAAGGGTGGGAAAGGTGTCTGGTGGAGGGAGTCATTAAGGTCACCTGGCAGGGGGTCTTCATGAGGAATTTGAGGTGTGAATGGTCATTAACCAAGGGTGGGAGAGGTCTGATGTGTGAATTGGTCATTACAATGTGTGACAAACTTGGTAGGAACATCCTGTGTTCAGTGTTTTGCTCATCTTTGCACCTTGAAAATGCTTTGCATGCATTTTTCATGATGAAAAAAGGCTCTGGACAGCATCGGGAACTGGAAGAGTTAAAAAAAAAAAATTCAAATGCTTATAAATGCAATTTTCCACGTCTACAAGCGTTTTGTGTTTGAAATGCTGATAAAATCGACTGCTGAATGCAAGTTAGGTGCATTCAAAAAAACAACTGTAAACGAAGATGTGTACATGGACACATAGGAAAACATTAGGGAGAGTTCAGGGGCTGCTGGAAAAAACGCTGAATGATGCTAAACGTGAGTTTATCAGCTGCAGTGTACATGAGCCCTTATTGTAAATGCATAGTAACGCCAAAGCAGCATGAAACTAACTAAAAAATGCCTTTCTGTGACAGCATGCTGCATTCACCATCGACAAGGCCACTGACCTCTTTACTGGAGGGGGCATCAGTTCTTAAAGCTAAGCAATGGAAGACATTGCAGCTAGTCATGCAACCTCTTAGTTCTTGTGTTCCAGCTTCCCTGATGAAAACTGAGGATGGTGGTGTATAGATGAGACAACCGATCAATGCAGACTCATCACTAGTTTCAGATGGAGTATGTTGGGACCACTACCCAATTCTATACACAACTAGGCCTCAGAGATCAGTTACCGATGTTATAAGCCGTAATCTAAAAACACCAATTCCAACCCGATGATGGTGAAATCTGATCAGGTTCTGAAGCTACCACCATGTTTTGATTTATAAAAATGCATCCAGTTATGGTTACTGTTTACAGTGCATGTTGTAACCCTTCACCAATCCTTTAGTAGGGAGCTGTATCATATCATGGTAAACACCGGACAGAACTGCAATAGGTCAAAGTAGAATGTTGAATTACACTATAATGGCCAACAGTTTGTGAACACCTGACCATCACACTTATCTATACGACCTAAAAATAGGTGGGCATCCCCCAAGTTCAAGTGTTTCCAGCAAAGGGCACCATTGTGTTGGCAGGGCTTCAACGATTCCATAAGATGTAGAATCGAGTGGATTCATGGCATCAACATCAGGCCCTAACTCAGGCATTAAAAGCAACCTGCAATAAAGTTAAAAAAAAAAAAAAACTTCCTTGGATGTCAAAGGCCACAAGGTTTACTACTGTCTCACTCTAACCAGGAAGTATGCAAAACTGTTGACTGTTTAGTCAACCAACAGCCAGCCCTCTGCACTTCTTGCACCTCTATTACTGTGAACTTTGTTACCATCAAACACGTACATCTCTCACTCTTAGCACCTTTATTAACCACTTCCCGTCCGGCTGTTGTATATAAACGGCCGAATGGTGGCAGTGCAGGGTCGGGTGGCCGTTTATAAACGTCCTCCCCGCCCCTGCTTGTGCACACTCCCTGGGAGCGCGCATCAGCGCGATCCGGTGTCCTCCAGACTTGTGACATCATTGCTTACTACGTGTGAATTCTGTGAATGATCACACAGGCCACATGGTACAAGGCTATTCACAACAGCCTTGTACCATGTGACAAGCTGTGACCAATCACAGCTCACTCAGTACTTCTCAATGACTACAAGAATGCAGACAGAGAGAAAGAGAAATGATTGCTTTTACATTCTATATGGGTGTAAAACCCATAGCATCACCCCCCCCCCCCAAGCAGTACAGTGTCACCATGGTGACACTGTACTGTTAGGGTGACAGTATGTAAAAAAACAAAAAAAAAAAATATAAAAAAATAAAAATGTAAAAAAAAAAAGTTTAAAAATTATAATTTTTGGTTATAAACTAATTTGGGTTTTTTTTTTTTTTTTTTACTAAAAAGATAATGGAATACATTTTGACCAAGATTTATGATGAAATATTGTTTATTTGCAAAATTTTATAAGAAAAACACTTTTTTTTCAAAATGTTTGGACTTTTTCATTAACATAGCAAAAAAAATAAAAATCCCAGAGGTGAATAAATGCCACCAAAATAAAGCTTTATCTGTCTAAAAAAAAATGGTAAAAAAATTCATATGGGTAAAGTGTTGCATGACCGTGCAATTGTCATTCAAAGTGTGATAGCGCTGAAACCTGAAAATTGGCCTGGACAGGAAGGGGGTGAAAGTGTCCGGACTTGAAGTGGTTAACCACTTCAAGGTCCCGGCAGTACTACTTCACAACGTTTTAGCAGAATTATTGCCTGGACCTTGAAGAAGGGGACATACCCCGAAAGCTTGTCCTCAAAATTGTATGTTAGTGCAAATAAAAAAAGTATCACGTCAGTACTCAATTGTTTCTGTCGCAAGTGCACTAATACGGCTACAATCACCTCAAGCACAATTCTTTGGAATATTAATTAAATAAAATTTGGGTTTTTTTTTTTTTTACAAATTTGTCATTTTAACAGATTATTTCTCACACACGGCATAGGCATAATTGCAATTACACCCCAAAATACATTCTGCTACTCCTCTTGAGCATGGGAATATCACGTCAGACTTTTTCACAGCCTGGCCACATACAGAGGTCCAACATCCAAGGAGCACCTTCAGGCGTTCTGGAGGCATAAATTACACATCTAATTTCCAGACTACCCATCACACTTTCGAAGGCCCTGGGAGTACCAGGACAGCAGAAACACCCACAAAATGACCCCAGTTTGGAAAGAAAACACCCCACTGTATATTTAATGAGTATTTTGAAAATGTCATTTTTTTTCAGAATGGGAAAAAAAAGGCTGCATGCAAAAAACCATTCAGCCTTCAGAACCACTTTAAACTTTCCCAAGCAGAAATAAAACATGAAACATGTTAACATTTTATTTATTCTATGAAAGTGCAATGCCCGCTTTTACAAGCACAGTGGAATTCTCTTTTTTTTATTTTATTTTATTTTTTTTTTTTATTCACATAATAAAATGTGGGGTAGAATGCCCGATCTTACTGGCAGAGTAGATATACCATTCCAAACTGCATACAGGTTAAGCTGCACCCTTAAAGTAAGTCATCATGTGAAGAATAAAGTAAACCTTGCATATTGATTTCAGTACTTCAACCTAAAACAGAGACCCAAATTGACCTTGACAAGTTTCCACTGTGTAGAAGAAAGCTCTTCTCTATTAGGAATGAGCTCAGATCCTAGCCCAAACCCACCTGAGCAAGCCCGCCAGCAAGCTGTCACTATTCTGGGCTAATCATGAGCAGCCGAGGCATTCCACTCCCCCTTGTATATGTGTGGCTGCAAGACAGGGAATACCCCATGCACAGATAATTGGCCCCATACAGGTGACAGCTTCCTGGTGGGATCGCTCAGGTGGAGATCCAAATACGCATGAGCCCACCTCTATTCACTATTCTATCATTGCTTCCCTCCACTGTCTGTCAAAACAAAACTGCCAACCACAAAAGTGAAGAGGTCTTCCATGATTGCACCAAAAAAAATGACTGCCCAGAGGGAACTTGCACCTGTTTTGGGACAATGTAACTGCAAGAAAAAAACCTTAATATTTACAAACAGGTTATCGGCGAGACAGTTTACAATCTGAAAGCAGAATTTCCCACTATGACCAGAATGAGGACCATCTCTTCACCAGGGCTCAGTCCAGTCTGTATGTATAAGAAACGCAGAGGGTGTGGTCACAAGCGATCAAACGTTGATTGGTTCACGGACAACATTGTGTCTCTTCACCACGTAGATCTTCTGTCCGGAGACGGTGACTAAGAAGGAGTGCTCCCCGAACACAACTGTGCAGGACAGAAAACAAGGATGTGTTGTATCATCATGAAACACCAAGGGTTCCCCCCTCAAGTCCCAATTATCAGCATTCGGTTACTTACTGCTCATGCGTTTAAATGGTACCTGGTCCCCAAGTTTGCGGAAGCTGCAAGCTGTAGTCACCATCTCTCGGATCACACCGGCAAAATGTTCATCGTTCTCTAGATCACCGGCACTCTGCATACAGAAAGAGATCACCCAAAATTACATTCTCATTAACCTCCCTAGCGGCCTGATTATGTCAGTATTTCTGTGCTCAAAGCGGTACATTTTTTTTCATGGAAATATGTATTTTTTTTATTGTAGGCCTGTAATTTTTAGGAATAACTCACTGAAATCTGTCCGAACAAGAGTCTAGTAAACATCCCGGGTATGTTAAAATTAGAAACACGAAATCATAAATAATAATATAATAAGTAATCATAAAAAATAATAAAATAATAAATTTAATTCAATAATATAATCAAACCAAAAACACTGAAATGTGAAATAGAGCGCCAAGTTCGCACATCACTGAGCAAAGTCGCAGAATCGTTTTCAGTGTCTGATGAGGAATTTCCCCCACGAATCATTATCACTCAATTCTGCAAGTGGTTCTAATTTACTATCGCTGTTCTCTAGCTGATCTAAAACCACTTTTGACCTAAAGGGACGCTTTTTGGACGCCATGGACGTTTCTCAGTTTCCAGGTAGAAAGAACAGTAAAAATGCAGGCAGGGCGCCGGACAAAGCACTCGGGACACAATGTATGTGAAATGGTTTGATACAGGAATGTTATACTATGTGATTTTAGTGAATGTCACTTTTCCACATTTTTTTAATTTCCTGCTGGTTCCGTCCCCCGTACGTCCTGACATTGCAGGGATGGAACCCAGAAGACAGATGCCGGCATTGGCCGGAGGACATTAAAGGGGACACTGCAGGAGGGACATCGCGGGAACGCAGGACAGGGTAAGTGAAGAAGAGATCCCGGAGCAACGCTGCAGAGTATTCCCGAGTGTAGCTCAGGGTACCGCTTGTGGTACTGAAACTTTACCCCGAGTTACACTCGGGAATACCGCCAGGGGGGTTAATAAAGATTTAAACAGCACAGAAAGAACATACACAGAAAAAAAAAAAAAAAAAAAAAAAGACAAAAAGCACAATACGTGACATTCTAGGCAGCTCACTTATAAAGACAAGTGAAATAATTTCATTTGGTTTAACCATTTGCCCTCCAGAAGATATACCCCCTCTCATGACCAGGCTTTTCTTTTGCTATATGTGCTACTTTAACAATTACGTGGCCATGCAATGCTGTACACAAATGAAATTTATATAATTTTTCCCCACAAATAGAGCTTTCTTTTGGTGGTATTTGATCACCACTGTTTTTTTTTTTTTTTTTTGCGCTAGAAACAAAAAAAGACTGAAAAAAAAAAAAAATGTTTTTTACTTTTTGCTATAAAAACACATGCAATAAGTGCTCATGTACACGGGGCATTTGGAAAACTTCTGAACGATGGAAACTGTTGAAAAAGTAGGCTAAAAACGTCAGTTTGGCCACGTTTGCATACCGCGTTTATGAGCATTTTTAAAAGATAACCTCAGGAGACCTCCCCAAATGCCCAGAATGCACTGAAAAACAGTAACAAATTAACTATTTGAGACATTTTGAGAGGAATAGAGAGAGCAGAAGCAGAGAGAGCAGTGTTTGTTGAGATGACCTGTCTTTTCTGGTTGTATTCACTATGGATCCCATCATGAGCATAATGCGTCACGTTCTACCATTTTATCCTTCGCGCAAAACCTGGAACTGACTGCTGCGCTGGTGTACCGGGTCCATTTGAATCCATGGAAAACACTTTGCATGCATTTCTGGTGATGAAAAAAGTCTCTGGACAGCATCTGGATATGGAACAGTTAAAAAGCTCTAAACGCAAATGCTTATAAATGTGGTTAACCGCGTTTACAAGCATTTGATGTTTGAAACGCCGGTAAAATCTACTCCTGAACGGAAGTTTGGTGTGTTAAAAAAAAAAAAAAAAAAAAAACGACTGTAAACGACGATGTGTACATGGACACATAGGAAAACATTAACGCTAAGAAATGGAGGACATTGCTGCTAGGTCATGCAACCTCTTAGTTCTTATGTTCCAGCTTACCTATATATATTTTCTACATTCACATCAGTCCCTAACTCTCAAGCAATTTATTTATTGCTATTTCAGGTACTTATATAGCGCCGTCAATGTATGCAGCACTTTACATACATATTGTACATTCACATCAGTCCCTAACCCTCAAGGGCGTACAATCTAAGGTCCCTAACTCACATTCATACATACACATACTAGGGACAATTTAGACAGGAGCCAATTCACCTACCAGCATGTCTTTGGAGTGTGGGAGGAAACCGGAGTGCCCGGAGGAAACCCACACAGACACAGGGAGAACACGCAAACCCCAGGCAGGTGGTGCCGTGGTTGGGATTCAAACCAATGACCCGAGTACTGCCAGTGGAAGTGCTAACCATTTAGCCACTGTGCCCCCCTACCTTTCCTAAATAGCAGCATATTTCTTCATTTCCAAAAAATTGTGGAAGAACGAGATCACCTTGGAGTATCCACTTTCCAAAAACAGGTCATTTCTCTTCATTATGCCGTCAACACGCAAATCTATCTCTCTACCCCTCACCTCACCCCTTCAGTCTCCACCCGTATCACAAGCCTACTAAGCGACATATCGGATTGGATGTCACTCCACTTCCTCAATCTAAATCTTTCCAAAACTGACCAACACCACTACCATCAGTCCCACCCCTCATGCCAGGGTACTAGGTGTCATCCTAGACTCCAATCTGTCCTTCCAACCCCAGGTCCATTCGCTGACAAACTTGTGTAGACTTCACCTCCGCAACATCTCCAAGATATGCCCGTTCACTCCCTCATTATATCGTATCTGCCAAACCCCCCCCCCCCCCCCGCCAATCCCTCCACTGGCTTCCAATTGCCCAACGGATAAAATTCAAAACGCTAACACTGATGTACAAAGCTGTTCATAACACTGCCCCAAACTACATCATCGATATTGTCTCCAAATACCACACTCTTCGCTCCTCACAAGACCTCCTACTCTCTAGTTCCCTGGTCTCCTCCTCCCATGCTCGTCTCCAAGGCTTCCCCCATCCTCTGGAATTCCTTACCCCAATCCATCAGACTATCACCTACTCTGCTCACCTTTAGGCGCACTCTTAAAACCCATCTCTTCAGGGAGGCCTATCCCGCCCTCAGCTAATTACTGAACTCCTCTACTCTTCCTACCACTCCATCCCCCACAGCTATTTCCTCCTGTACCACTATCCCCTCCCTCCTAGATTGTAAGCTCCAAGGAGCAGGGCCCTTGAACCCCTCGTGTATTGAATCGTATTGTTACTGTACTGTCTCGTGTACTGTCTCGCCCCATAATGTAAAGCGCTGAGCAAACTGTCAGCGATATATAAATCCTGTATAATAATTTGGGGGGGGCTTTTTTTAGTACAAAAAACAAAAATCCCAGTGATTACTAAATGCCACCAAAACAATCTGTTCCAAAAAAATGATCTCAGATGAACTTGGTAGTGTAGCAGGACAAGTCATTGTCAGTCAAACTATCTCAGTGCTGATAAATGGCCTGGTAATGAAGGGGTATTGCATGCTGGCACTGAAGTGGTTGACACACAAAGGGACGCCATCACAGAGGATGCAGGTCCTAGAGAGGGAACAGCCTGCCATATGTTCCAGCTGAATTCTGGTCCATTCTCACAAGCAAAGCTTCAGCACTTCCAGGTAGTGTTAGACCTTGCTGCCACACCCCACCTCCCACATATTCCTTATTGGCCTTTTACTTTGATGGGCAGCCTGACTAGCCAATAGGAATGTGCAGGAGGCAGAGGCCCCTTTCACACGGATGTTTTTCAGGCGGACCTGATCGGAATGTCTATTCTCCTCTATTACATGGTGGGTGTAAACAGACACGTGTCCATTTACACCCGCCAACATCCAATCTGATCCGATCCACCAAAAAGACGGATCAGGATCCATTTCCCTTCCATGCACCGGATGGGATGACAGTCGGATACAAACGTACAGGCGGTCCATTTCCATTCGACTGCCCATATTGGACAGCGGGCTGTGTCTGTGTCCGCTCTGCATAAGTGGAGTGACCTGTCATCCACTTGCTCAGCGGGGATTAGTGGAGGGATCCCCAGCTGAGCAAGCAAATCCGCTGACGGGTCCGCCCCGTGTGAAAGGGGCCAGAATGTGGCGAGCAAACGTCAGCATTATTAGAAGCTCCTGAATTTTGGCCTCTGCACCTTTTAGGGCTCTGCACTTCTGCCTGCAGCAGTTTGCCACCCTCTCCCCCAGTGACAGGGTCTCTATCATTGGCCTTATCATTTTTTGGCTTTTGATAATTACTTTTTATTGCCCTCTTTGATCCCATTGCAGAGATTTCACCTCCCTCCCTGTCCCTTTACCAAAAATGGGGGGAGCAATTGTCACCAGGGCAAGCCGACACAAAACCTGATCGAGGTTCTAAGCCTTCTGTACTTCAACTGAAACATTGTTGTAGTCTGTGTCCCCACTGCAGACTTCTCATCACTTGCTGTCCCAACAGGAAGTGAGGGCAAATCTTCCCAGAGGGGGCATAGACTGCACATAAAATTCCAACAGAGCTTTTAACTATTCTCCACACTTATCAAAAGTTACCGCCAACACGCCATCCTCGCTCATCACCAAGTACCCCAGCTGATCCGGGATCCGCTCCAGACCCTGAGTAAGCGTGGAAGTCTGAGAAAGAAAAAAACAGAAATTGAAAATGCAGAATCTTAAAAAAAAAAAAAAAAAAAGGGAAAAAGAATGATTACATTAATGGCCACAGACTCAGCCCACAACATATTACAGGAGAGGATGGGATGAGTGGAATGAGGAGGGTTTGCGCAGGTTAGTTCTTGAGGAGTGGTGTGGTTGGGTGGAGTGGGGGGCAGGTTAGTTCTGGAGGGGTGACTGAGGTAGGGGAGGGTGTTAATGCTGGTTAATTCTTGAGGAGTTTGGTGGTTGGCTTGGTGGGCTATTAGTGCAGGGTAGTTCTGGAGGGGTGGGTGTGATTCAGTGGAGTGGGGTGCAGGTTAGTTCTTGAGGAGTGGTGTGGTTGGGTGGAGTGGGGGGCAGGTTAGTTCTGGGGGGGGGTGATGTGGTTGGGTGGAGTGGGGGACAGGTTAGTTCCGGAGGGGGTGTGTGATTCAGTGGAGTGGGGTGCAGGTTAGTTCTGGAGGGGTGTTTTGATTCAGTGGAGGGTGCAGGTTAGTTCTGGGGGGGGGGTGGTTGGGTTGGGTGGGTGGGGGACAGGTTAGGTTCTGGTGGGGGGGTGGTGTGATTCAGTGGAGTGGGGGCAGGTTAGGAAGGGGGTGTTTTGATTCAGTGGGGGGGGGTGGGGGGGGGTTCTGGAGGGGGTGGGTGGTTGGGTGGGTGGGGTGGGGTTAGTTGGGGGGGGGGTGGAGTGGGGGTGCAGGGTGGTTCTGGAGGGGGGGGGTGGGGGGTGGGTGGAGTGGGGTGCAGGGGGGGGTGTGGGGGTGGGTGGTTGGGTGGAGTGGGGTGGCAGGTTAGTTCTGGGGGGTGGTGTGGATTCAGTGGAGTGGGGGTGCAGGTTAGTTCTGGAGGGGGGTGGTGTGATTCAGTGGAGTGGGGTGCAGGTTAGTTCTGGAGGGGGGTGTGATTCAGTGGAGTGGGGTGCAGGTTAGTGGGGGGGGGTGTGGTTCAGTGGAGTGGGGTGCAGGTTAGTTCTGGAGGGGTTGGTGTGGTTAGGTGGAGGGGGGTGCAGGTTAGGTGTGGTTTGGGGAGGGGGGGGTGCAGGTTAGTTGGGGGGGTGGTGGGGGATTGAGGGGGAGGGGGGTGCAGGGGGTGGGGTGGAGGGGTGGGGGTTCAGTGGAGTGTGGGGGTGCAGGTTAGTTGGGGGGGGGTGGGGTGGTAGGTGGGAGTGGGATGCAGGTTAGTTCTTGGGGTGGGTGGTGTGGTTGGGGGGAGTGGGGGGCAGATTAGGGGTAGGGGGGTGATTGGGGGGTGGGGGGGGGTGGGGGGGTGGGGGGGGGGTGGTTGGCTTGGTGGGAATGTTAGTGCAGGTTAGGGTGGGGGGGGAGGGGGGGGGGTGGGGTGGGTGGGGGATATGGGGGGGGGGGGGGTGAAGGTTGGGTGGTTAGTCTAGGTGGGGGGTTGGGGGGGGGGGGGGGGTGGGGTTGGGGGTCTAGGGTGTAGTTGGGGTGGGGTGGGGATGGGGTTAGGGGGGGGGGACACAGGTGGGGGGGGTTTTTTTCAGGTGGGGGGGGGGGGGGGGGGGGGGGGGGGGGGGGGGGGGGGGTGGGGGTTGGTGGGGGGGGGGGGGGGGGGGTGGTTGGGGGGGGGGGGGGGGGGGGGGGGGTGGGGGGTTGGGGGGGGGGTTGGTTGGGGGGGGGTTGGGGGGGGGGGTGGGGGGGGGGGTGGGGGGGGGTGGGGGGGTGGGTTGGTTGGGGGGGGGGGGTTGGGGGGGGGGGGGGGGGGGGGGGGGGAGGGGTGGGGTGGGGGTTGGGGGTTGGGGGGGGGGGGGGGGGTGGGGGGGGGGGGGGGGGGGGTGGGGGTGGGGGGGGTGGGGGGGGGGTGGGGGGGGGGGGGTGGGTGGGGGGGTTGGGGGGGGGGGGGGGGGGTCCGGGGGGGGGGTTGGTTGGGGGGGGGGGGGTCTTGGGGGGTGGGGGGGGGGGGGGGGGGGGGGGGGGGGGGGGGGGTGGTGGGTGGAGCAGGTGGTGTTAGTTCCAGAGGGGTGGTTGGGTGGGGTGAGGTGAGTGGCGATAGCTCCGGGAGGGGGGGGGGGGGGGGGGGGTGGTTGGGTGGGGGTGTTAGTGCAGATTATATCTGGAGGGGTGTGGGAGGGTTAGAGGTGTTTATTATAGAAGTACATTCATCCTGTAATCCTGAACACCAGGGACACTTGCAGGGACTATGCTCCATAGCCTGTCCCTGGAATTCAGGCACATTGGGCTCCTATGTTATTAAAGTCGATGAACATCCAAACACTGACACCTCACACAATCTCTAACACGTAACTTATCAAGAGTTGTTTTCAATCGTTTAAGTTCACAGATTTCATTAAAACAATCCCGGGTGATCCCGCCATTAGGGTTCTTGTTCCACACACTTCCTGGTATAGGGTGACCACGTTCTGTCCGCATCTTCCAGCTATGATTATGCGTTGTCACCCTGTCACAAGGACTTCTGATGGAAAGGGGAGGGCTCAGGCGCTCCGTGGATGGAAACCGGGGGCGTTCTGTGGAGAGTGAAGGGGCATTGGCTCTTTTTGGAGAGGGGGAACCGGGGCGCTGGTGCTCTGGAGGGGGAAAGGGGATGCTAGTGCTCTGCAGAGGAAGAAGGAGACGCTCTGCGGAGGGGGAAGGGGGCGCTCTGGGGAAAGGGGGCGCTCAGAGGGGGAGGGGAGAAGGGGGCGCTCTGCGGAAGGGGGGCGCTCTGCGGAGGGGGAAGGGGGCGCTCTGCGGAGGGGGAGGAGGGGGCGCTCTGCGGAAGGGGGCGCTCTGCAGAGGGGGAAGGTGGTGCACTTGCTGTGGTTAGGGTGGGGGCTTTGGTGTCACTGGGGGGGGGGGGGGGGGTCATTAGTGCTGAGTAGATGATCTAGCTGTCCATACTCTGCATCTGAGCAGGACGGGGGGGGGGGGGGGGGGGGGGGGGGTAGTGTGGAGGTTAGAGGGGTCTCTTGGGGGTGTTGGTATCTTCTATCAGGCAGAATGGAGCCATGACCCCACCAACACACACAATTAGAGGTACTGAGATACAGCAAGAGCTGGCTTTAGACAGCTCATGGTATTCTATACATTGTATTGTATTCACACAACTTTATCAAACACAAAAGTAATTCGGTAACATTCCCTCTAATAAAAGAAAAACATTGTACAAGACATCACATGACCACTCACCATGTCTGCTGCTTCTACACCCAGCTGCTACTTCCTCCTTCACTCCCCGCCCCGCCTCCTCACATCCCACCCCTCCTCTCCCCATAGGTTCCTTCCCCGGCCACTTCTTCGTTCCAGGGACCTCTTCGGCCAGGCTAGCTGTCAATCATAGTTCGAGTCCCGCCCCCCGAGTTAAATGAGTGGGGAAAGCTAACATAGGACCGTTTCTCGTTTCTGATTTGTTCTCGTGTCTTCCCTGTGATTGGCTCTGCTTTAGAACTTCAGGCTGTCCTCGCACTGTTGGCTGTGTATTGTTACGCTACGTGAGAGAGCTTCTGCTTTTGGGAGTAGGAAGGAGGTGTTTTCTGAGAGGTTATCGCCGCCATTTTGTTGGAGACTAAAGCACACTGTATCCAACGGAATGGGCACATGTATTATGGCGCTGATAGTGGAGACATTTTTTATTATTACTATACATTTATATAGCGCTATCATATACTGCTGTTGCTGTTTTGAAACCATTCTCCTCAATCTTTGCAAGAGGAGCTTGTCATTACAATGACACCCTGTTATTATACATTTATCCACCTAAGGACCTTTTCTGGCACTCTTAATTTACAAGTAAAAATCTGTGATTTTGGCTAGAAAATACTTAGAACCCCTAAACGTTATATGTTTTAGCAGAGGCCCCAAGAACAAAATGACAGCCATTGCAAATTTTTTTGCGCAGCGGTTTTTCAAACACACTTTGTTGGGGGAAAAAATACACTTTGATGACATAAAAAAACAAAACACAATATATACCTCAAATGTTTGTAAATTATGAAAGATGATGTTACGCTGAGTAAATAGATACCCAACATGTCACGCTTTGAATATTACGCACACTTGTGGAATGGCGCCAAACTGCGGTACTTAAAAATCTCCATAGACGACGCTTTAAAAATGTCTACAGGTTAGCAGATTAGAGCTACAGAGGAGGTCCAGTGCGAGAATTATTGCTCTCACTCTGCCATCTCGCGGTGATACCTTACATGTGCGGTGCGAACACCGTTTACGTAAGTGGGCGAGGCCTATGTATGCGTTCACCACTGTGTGCGAGCACGGGGGCACTTTAAAAAATAATTTCCTTTTATTATTTATTTTATTACATTTTCTTTAGTCATTTTTATTGCTTTCGCAAGAAATGTAAGCATCCCTTGAGGTAACATTACAGCATGACAGGTCCTCTTTATGGAGAAATCTGGGGTCTGTAAGACTCTAAATCTCTCCTCTATCTTTAAAAGCAGAAAAAACATTTATATACTGTGTGTGTGTGTATATATATATATATATATATATATATATATATATATAACATATACATACATATCACAGTTGCAAGAAAAAGTATGTGAACCCCTTGGGATTACGTGGAGTTTTGCATGAATTGGGCATAAAATGTGCTATGAACGTCATCTAAGTCACAACAATAGAAGAACACAGTCTGCTGAACATAATACTACACAAACATTAGATGTTGCCATGGTTTAATTGCACATAACATGTAAACATTCACAGTGCAGGGAGGAAAAAGTATGTGAGGCCCTAGCTTAATGACTTCTCCCAGAGACAATTGGAGCCAGGAGTGAGCCAACCTTGATTCCAATCAGTGTGATGATATTGGCTGTGTTGCTGACAGCTGTCCTGCCCTTAAAAAACACACACCTGTTTTGGGTGTACTGGTTTCAAGAAGCACTGCCTGATGTGAACCGTGCCTCGCAGAAAAGAGCTCTCAGAAGACCTACGATCAAGATCAAT